GTCAAACTCATAGCTGCTGCTCTCATCTGTTACTTCACGTCAGATAACATCTTTATCTCCTGTTCCTGATTATTATTAGTTGATGTTGAGCGCTGGTCTGGCTTCCTTCCTCTTTAGATTATTAATATGCATGAACAGACAAATGTCTGTAAACCCCCCGAGTTAAAAACAAGAAATGATTCTTACTGATATTTTGCAAATGATGCAAAAGATTCTTAAAATATAGTTGATGGAAAGACAAACTGAGAAAGTCACGTAGTAGCCTGGCAGCTACTGCCGCTAACACTTTTACACTTCACTTTTACTTTGTGTCCAATTTTAGAGAAGTCTCTCTTTCTGCTTAAACCTAATAACTCTGACGAATGTAGTAAACATGAATTGCAGTCCTGCTTACAGAAAGGACACAGAGCTTTGTGTGTTGCACTACACACTTTAATTGTTCATTATGACGAGCAGAGACAAGTTAACCAGATCAATATCAATATCAATATCAATCTCAATATGAAACAAAATATTGAGAAATATTTCTCTCCCCATGAGTCAGATGAGAAATAATTAAAAAACTTCAAACATGAAAACAGATCATTTTACAGCATCCAACAACTTCTTTTCTTCAAAATAAGAGTCTTAACATTATAGTCAAAACAGAAAGTGGCGCAATTTAAAAGTCTCATAAGAAAATAACTGTGGAATAAATACCGTTATTGCCGTTATTTGGAAGTTAGAATAGATCATTCACTTCACCTCATTTTCAAAAATGTAAACAAACATAGGCTGAAAAAACAAAACAAAAATGGGGCTGACGTTAAAGCCCACAGTTTACCTCCTCCCTGTATCCATGGTAACATACTTCCTGTTTGTTGGTTAGTTGGTACCACTTCACAATAAGGTTTCCCTTGTGAAGGATTTATAAATGGTTTATAATTAGGTCATTAATTCTGTAAATTAATTAATTAATTCTAAATTCTGTAAATCATAAATAAACAATTATTAAACAGCCTTAATATATCGATTTGGCAAGATGAAGTCAATGTTTACTACTCATTAATCTCGCTAATGAGTTACCACCATGTATAACTGGTAAAATGAGCCTTATAGTAACTGATTAATAAATGATGATGTGTTTTACACTTTATAATAAAGCTCATTTTACCTGTTATAAAAGATAGTAACTCATTAGTTAAATTAATGAGTAGTAAGCATTAACTTGATCTTGCCAAATAGTGAGCCTGCATCACTGTATGAAAACTGTTAATGATTTATTAAGTGTTAACAACCAAATGAACCATTTATAAAACCTTTATAAGGCGAGTCTTATTGTAAAGTGGCACCGTTTAGTTTATATCTGTTCTCTTGTCCTGATGCGTCTGTGTTGAGATTTCCTGTCCTGTTGTTTAAAGTTTGTACTTTGCATCCATGGTTTGTGCTAAACTCTCAGAACCTTTGGGTGAGCTGCTCTAAAACAGGAAGTGAGCCACCTGTTGTAGACCCCTGGTGTAGCACGTGAGTCAGGTTTATTAATCGCACACACGGGATCTTTTTATATTTTTGAGTAACGTGGCTTCAAGGTTTGCATTTCATCCCGCCACAAATCTAGAAGTGACGGACTGAGAGTTCAGACTCCCTCTGAAGTTACACAACCTCACTACGTGCTAACCGCCCTGAAAGGTAAATGAAGACGTACCGTACCTGACACAGAGAGGAGGAGGACGAGTCCACACGGTGCTGCTGCTCCTCTCATCTCTCCGTCTGTCAGGACACATCAGCAGGTAAGAGCTGCACGGGGCAAATAATGTGTGGGGTTAGTTTCAACGAAGAGCTCAACGTCAAGATGAAAAGGATGTGGTTTTGAGAAGAAAAAAAAAAAACGGTTGTCAGAGCTGTAGAAATCACGGGTCTGAGGACTCAGACCCGGCACAGCTTCCTCCCACTTCACATTACTGGAAAGCAAAACTTAAGTCAGCGTCCGCACTGTCAGTATCACAGCAGCTCGCCCTAACAGCTGCTGAAGGTGAAGACAGGAAAGTAAATAATGGAGTAACGTTTATATGAACTAGTCAGAGAATAAAAATGACAAAGTGGTGTAATATCAATGTTTATTGATTTATTATTTTGTGCAAATATTTAAAAAAAAAAAAAAAAAAAAGAAAGAAAAAAGAGGAAAATAACTTCATTTTAAAGCAACTCAAGGAGGTGTTAGGATACAGAGGCTCAGAGATAAAGTTAGTCACAGAGCTGCTCTCTGATACTCTCCAGTTAATCCTTCTGATGACTCCTCACACAGCAGGAACCAGGAGTCCATCAGGCTTTTTCTGGGTTTTCCAAATGGAGCTACGAGCCTCCTCGGTGATGCTCCTCTGAGGATCTCCTTACGTTAGAAGTTTGAGTGTCACATGGATTTATTGCGTCTTCTCTGAGGTCGGGTCCCAGACCCTGTAAAGTGACTCCTGTCAGAGTCACAACTTCTGACTTCAGCCATCACACATGTGGCTCTCTCTCTCTCTCTCTCTCTCTCTCTCTTCTCTAGCTCTCTCCTCTCTCTCTCTCTCTCTCTCTCTCTCTTCTCTCTCTCTCCTCTCTCTCTCGTACTCTCTCTCTCTCTCTCTCTCTCTCTCTCTCTCTCTCTCTCTCTCTCTCTCTCTCTCTCTCTGTCAGTATTCTCAGGCACATCCTCCTGTTCATGTCCTCATTGTTCCTCTTCTCCTTTTTCACTGTAATTCCTTCTTCAGTGTGTCCGGGTACTTAGGGTTGCCATGTTTTCTTGTTTCGACCTTGCTGGTCTGGTATGTGCTTGAAGCGGCACCTGTCGCCATAGATACAGCCTGTGGTCCGCCAATAGAAGCACTCGTCTCCATTTACGGGCGCCCTCCGTCTGGACCTGCGTGGTCAGAACCAGAGGAGAGGGTCATGCTTCATGTGTGATGCTACTTCATGGAGAGTGTCAATAACCACCGGGCTCAGTGTTCACGTCTGTGGGAGTTGGGCTGATGTTCAATGATCATGACGTAATCCCCAAACTCAAATCCTCACCTGAGCTGTCACACCAACATGTCTAACATTAATCCTGACTCTAACGTTAACCAGAACTCACCCCCAAACCTTCAACAGGTCAAAGATATAAGCGGGTAAAATGGTGTCAGTTTGTCAGGGCCCACTCTGAGTTCACACCTGCAGGTTGGAGACATTTTTGCAAAGAATTAAAAGTACTCAGTACCCTGTGGAAGCTGAGCTCTGCTGTGTTCCTGCAGCGTTGGAGCCGAGGCCGGTGTCGGTCTTTTGTACGGAGGGCAGGCTCCGCTGGATCCAACGGTCTGGGTACCTCATCACCAGCTTGCTGCTCCCCAGCTCCACCCCCTGGGCAGGAGGACACAGGTTAAACTAACAAACTGCCACACTGACGTTTGTGTTCACCTAAAGACGACACGGTCCGTCACCCACCTGCAGCTTCTCCAGGGCTTTGGCGGCCATGTTGGCATTCTTGAAGTTGACAAAGGCACAGAAGCGCTCGTGAAGAACTCTGATGCTCTCTATCTCACCAAACCTGTAACCATGGAAACACAGAGCCTCTAACGTACAGCAAAGCAGTGCGTTACAGACAATACTGTCACTATTATAATTACAGTTTTACTCCTGCTACTACAAGTACTATTCGAACTACTCGTAGTAGTTACTAAAACTTCTTAGCTACAAAAGTACTACTGCTTCAACTACTGCACTTCTACTGCTGCAACAACACCAACTACTACGACTATTCACACACTTTTATACACTTTATTTTACAATGTGGAGGTCATGGTGGTGTTGACTGCTACCACCACGTCTTACCACACTGTAATACAACCGTACCTCTAGTCTTAAGCAGTGAGGTTTACCTACAGGTGACGCCGTGTGAAGGTGCAGATGTCTTATAATGCTGCTTCATTAGTACCTGCTCTGATTTATTATTTATTATTACTTAAATCTGCTTGGAAAGCGCCTTGAGATAATTAGAATTTGTTATGATTTGGCTCTAAACAAATAGAACTGAATTGAAAATAAAAATTGAATTAATGATTTAGTTATGTGCATGAATATGATGCGACATGACATGTGAATGACGAAATCACACATTTGGTGTTTTTACATTTTGAAGAGCTCCCAGAGGTCATTCTCTGTAACCTCCAATGTGATGTTTCCAACCCACAGAGAGCGACAGCTCCTGGAAGACAGAGGAGGAAGAGGAAGAGGAAGAGGAGGAGGAAGGAGGAAGAGTGAGAGAAGAAAACAGGGGGAGAAATGAAACACTGAGTACGTTTCACACTCTCAGGCCTGGACCGAACCATTCTGTATTCCTAAGAATCTTAAAGACACTGTTGTGATTATGTGTGATGTTCACGGTCGTAGAACGTACCCACTCTGGTTCTCCAGATCTGTGTGCTTCAGTGCTGGAGGAGAGAGGAGACGGACAGTCAGTGAGATGTATTTTAAATGGTTCATCACCGTGTTTCTCTGACCCGCTGCATTAATGTGGTTACTCCTCAGTGGACCTTCATCATGGAGTCAGACACTTTAAAATGAAGTTACTGTGTGTGGAGTTAATGATCTTGCTGCATGTCTTCATTAGAATAAAGAGGAGATTGCTTCTCTACTCTTGTCCCTGTCTCTAGTAAACTGATAAACACTACATCTGTCTGTGCCTCTTAAAACCCTCTAACTGCAGTTTTCTGTCTATAATATGTTTTACCTCAGTTTTAGTAAATTAAACTAGTAAATAGTAAATATATGTATATATTTATATTCAGCGTCTCTGTTGCGTCTCTTGGAGATGAAACTGAGTCTGACTGTAACAGAGTGTTGCTGCCTCCGTGTGGACAGATGTGGTTCTTCATCTCCCTCTCACCTTTGGCCTCCGAGGAGGTGAGGACCGCCTGAACAGTGTTGAACTTCTCCAGCAGCAGTTTACTCTGCTCTTCCTCAAAACCCATCTCCTACAGGTAAAAAAAAAAAAAAAAAAAAGAAACTCAAAAGGCCAGAAGTTCCTGGTGGATCTGTCCTTTTATAAAATCCTTCTGGTCTCTCGTGAAGCTCCTCACCATGAGCTGCAGGATCCGGCAGGTAACAAGTTTACTGGACGCTTCTGTGATGTCCTGATCCAACTTCAATACCTGCTCCATTTCCTTCTCTGCCTCACTGTACCTCTGTGTGACACACACACACACACACACACACACACACACACACACACACACACACACAGGTCATCAGACTGTAGTTTAAGTTTTTACACAGGCGTGTTAAAAGAGGTCTTAGTCTGTTGTACGGCAGGTGCTGACCTTTAACCCCATCAGGGCACACCCCTTACGGAAGTATCCCTTCGGCCAATCAGGAGCCAGCTCGATGGACCTCTGAGCGTCTGATAGGGCGGCGTGGTACTGCTCCAGACACCAGTAACAGTAGGAGCGATTCCCATAGAACCTGAGAGACGAGAGGAAGACGCACTGAGACACAGACACACACCGGAAGTGACGAAGGACACAGAGGGACGTGAGGAAGTAACGTCAGGCATCAGGACACGACCTGGGTCACATGACCTGAGCTCACCTGTGGTCCTTGGGGTCACAGTAGATGGCTTCTGTAAACATGTGCACTGCCTGGCTGTACTGGCCTTGCTGGAACATCTGGATGCCCTGCTCTGGATGTTGGACACACACACACACACACACACACACACACACACACACACACACACACACACACACACACACACACACACACACACACACACACACACACACACACACACACGTCTCAATCATCCTACTAAATCTAAATACTGAAGGTCCTGGTTCAAGACTATAAGTTTACTTCTTCACACAGTGTGGATGAAATTAACTGGGAGAATGCGACTCGTGAAATTGTCTGTGATCTGCTAAAGAGAAGACGCGTCCCTCACTGGTGTTGTATGAACTACAGAAACACTCAGTCCACCCGCAGGTGTGTGACAGAGTGAAGGATCTTCCCCTCACAAATGATCTTTGGGGAGCAGAGTACTCTTAGAATTAGTCTAACATTAATTAGCAGCAGCTGATATCACCTGTAACAGGTGCTCAGCTCCAGCAGAATTATTTTTGTAACCAGGACGTTGTCGTTGAGTAAGAACACACTCACTCACTCACATCTCAAAACTCGAAACAACTCAAACTTTCACAATTTGTATTAGTTGCAATGTCAGTAGAAAACACCTTCAAATTGATTCTGTATTGTTTATCCGAGTTAAAGTTTAAACTCATCTCTAACCATTATACTTCTATTTAAATCTAAAGTTTGACTCAACACAGCACATTAAATAAAACGTCAAGCTATTGTAACTATGCTAATGTAATTAATGAAATTATACTGATATGATAACATGGTTAAAGGAGCATGAAGAATTAAATCTGAATCAACTTTATTCATTCTTATTCAGTCATTAGAAGGACAAAAGGTAGATTTACCTGTCAGAGACTCTCCCCTCCTCTTCATTTCCTTTGTGCTCTCTCCCTGTAATCACAACACAGAGTTACAGCGCTGCAGTCTGTGTAATGCCGATTTCACCAGTTCCCACCAGCGCTCCATTAAATCCCTGATAAGACCTCGGTGGAGATAACGGGTTTCATACTCTCAGTCCTGTGTGTTTGTTACCTGGTTGCTCCTGGCCTCGTTCTCCTTGTTCTCTCTGGTGATCTGTGCCGTTCGGCTCTTCAGGCCCTTGAGTTTGATGTGGCTGGCAGCGTTAGCCACAAACGCGCTGCTGACGTCCCACTCCGGCTCCTGAAACACCCACAAGTAACACAGGACACTGAACACAACAGACTCAGCATGTGATAACTACAGTTAACTACAGAAAAACAAAAAAAGAGAGAGAGAGAGACGCCTGCTCTGACCAACATGTTGATTTAGATGTTTAGTAAATCAGTACGGGTCGTCTCTGAAGGTCTGTATCAGTCATCCAGGTGCTGAAGCACATCTGGGGGAGCTGGATCCAAAACACTGGGCTGCGGTTTTATGTGTACTGCATGTGTGTTAAGTATCGTATTAGAATAAATAGGTTGAATGTTGCTGGAGCTGGTAAGAGCTCAGTGTCTTGCTCATGGACACTGCAGTCGTGGTTGAGAGTTTTGCTTTTATGACTTTATGTTTAACCTCTATAACCAGCATCATGCTAAGGCCCTGCGCCCTTGAATCGTATTAAACAGTTCAGACCGTGTTGTCTGTATTGCGTGTGTTCATACCGATCCCTTTATTGAAACTCTGCAGTGTAAACTTTTCTAGTTTGGTCGGTTTGAGCTGGGGAGCCAATCAGACGCAGGTGCAACGAGGTAACTGCACCGAGATACCTTAAGACAGAGGTGTCGGTCCTCTTCCAAGGAAAGTGTGGTGTGCTTCATTCAGCTTCATTCATGCTCTTAACTGGTATGAACACAAGAGATGGTAAATTATGGTAACGAGTACAGACAAGTCTATTCACGCCTGTAAAGGAAAGAAACTGGATTTTTTTTTTCTTCCATTTTAACTAAAGTTTAACAAAACTCGTGAGAACATGTGATTTTTGTTTATAAGCTCCAGTCTGTTTATGATGTAACTGTGAAAATACGTCACAAACCTAAGGAACCAATCCTGTCAATTTGTGGGAACAGGGGGGGGGGGGCGGGGCTAAATAAACCCAAAACTGTGTCAGCCACTGCCAGTTACAAGCTAATAAACAACATAAACAAAATAAAAGATGCTAACTACGCTAACGGTTCTGATCCGTCTGCTAGTCTCTGGTTCTCCTCCTGAGTCTGGGTCTGATGTTTCCTCTCTGCTCTTTCACCTGTCCACCTGGAGCCAGCAGGTGGTGGTGGGCGGGGCATAAGGCCTGATCCAGAAGTGTAGATGTGCTTCAACACCCAGTTTTTATTTATCTATTTTTTTTTACTTTTTATGAGATAAATCATGTCAAAGATTAAAAGTTAAAAGTTTAAAACATGTCTGGAGAGGAACTAAAAACCCATTTGTTTGTATGTAAAGGCAGAGTTCAGACACTTTCCTAAGAGTACTAAGAGTTATAAGACCTACTGACATTCAACAGACATACAAAATAGGTTCGAGTAAACACTCAGCATTAGGTAAATGTGGCATGTGATGCAAGAAAATGTCAGTTTAGATCCATTTGTTTAACGACTTCCACGACCGATTAAGTTGCCGTTCCACAGCAATTACATTTCATTACTTGTGGACTTTACAGTGAGTGAGCAGAGAAGGACTCGATGTCTTGTTCGTGAACCCATCAGGTCACTCTGCTGCGTTAATACTTAGTCACCAGGTACTTTGTGTTTTATCATTCATTTTATTTTGAAGGAATGGGTGATATAACGGCCCTGGCTCCGACCCACCTCCTCTGAGGTCCTGTGAGGTAACTTGCTCTTGTTCTCCCCGGTCACGAGGGCGGGGACTGATTCAGGGCTGCATTTGTTTCTGGGACGAACCTCGGTCCATTTCTCCTCCACTCTGAATTCCTCCTCACTGTTACTCTCTGACCCCGCTCCGGCCGCTTCTTCTTCTTCCTGTTGCAAGTTTAAAAGCGTCATTAGAAAAAAGGCTGGAACAATATGCAAATATAAATCTTATTGCGATTATTTTGGGAGCTATTTTGATTGCAGTTGTGAAAAAATTCTAAATGATGATGATGTGATTTTTGTTGGGTGTTTTACCAAATAAGCATGTTCACTTTACATCTGGAGAATATGATTTGTAGGTCAGATCCCTCTGTAGCACCACAGCGCTTCATTTATGGTCTGGCACATTTTACCTTTATCAAAACATTGGAGCCCCTGCAATTTGGATATTACACTTGGTCATACTGCGATTTCGATATAATTGTGCAGCTCTATTAGAAAATTACCCCCTAAAATATTTTTTATTATTATTATTATTTATTTTAAAAAAAAAGGAGTAATTTTTTTTTAAATTGATAAAAAAAATGAATGATTAATGATAATGAATGAGATTTAACATTCTTACTCATAAAGTAACTGGAGCTGGATTTGGTTCCTAAGTGGAATCACGTATTCTTGAATAGACCTGGATGTGACCTTGATGTAAAAGTGAATTAATGAAAACATTTCATTTTGCTGGAATTTCAGAAAATGGCTTGAAATCAGTGAAACAATTTAATAAAAGCATCACTATTGAATTTTATAGTACACATGTAGCAGACAACTTTTAAACACGTGCAGGTCTGTGTGTACAGATATACGTATAGGCTAACATATATAAACATATAAACTCTTTCCAGACTTGTTGAAGAAATAGAGAGAAATAGCAGCTGAGGAGAAAAAGACAGTTGTCATTCAGACTCTCTGTGATCTCACCTGCTCTAAAACATCCTCCATCCTCTCCTCCCTCTCCAGCTTCTTCCGTTCTTTCTGCCTCTGAAAGGAGAGTATGGACATGGTGGCTGTGGGATGGTACAGACACATGTACGGACGCAGGTAGGTGTGTAACAGACAGTGAGGAGACAGGTGTGGGAACAGCGATGAGCGGGGTGTGGTAAAATGTATGGAGAGGTAAAAGGAAGACAGGTAACATGTCACATGAGCAAATAAAGGTGTGGTGACAAGTGAGTGCAGTGACGCGTGGAACGTGGCAGGTACGTTTGTTTCAGTAACAGATGAACCGTGAAGAATAAAAGACATGAGACGCAACATGGACGACATTTTCAGTTTGTTACTAAGTTTGTTTTGTTTTTTGTTTATTTGATTATTTATTTTACAGCGGATGTTAAAGGGTCATTATATGTCATTTTACTGAACTGCAGTTTGTTCTGTGTGATGTTAAATATTCCTGTCCTTAGACAACACACTGCACCTCAGCTACAGGTGAAATTAATTATTTGTGTTTTTAAATATATTTCTTAAATGCTCTGTTTTGTTTTTGTTATTTTATTTAGTTATACTTTTTGTTTTTTTACTCACTTTCTTTTTTGCTCTCTTCCTCTCAGCTTTCCTCCGTGCTTTCTCCTCATCATCCAGACCTTCCTCATTGTTCAGCATGACCTGGTCAGCATGTAATCACACACACACACACACACACACACACACAACACCCACACACACACACACACACAACAACACCACCACACCACACACAAAAAAAAAAACAAAACCAACAACACACACACACACCACACACACACACACACACACACACAACCACACACACACACACACACAGAGCTTTTGAGTCAGTATTTGGTCTTCAGCTTTATGAGATGACAGAAATATAAAAGTATTTGCCTGTAGACGAGACTCTGATCTAAGTTTTTATTGTACATTTAGTGCAAGTGATTTTTCTGTATATGTTCATACATGTCCAGTAAAGTATTTCTGTAACCGAGTTCACACTGATCCACTTTATATATTAATCTTTCAGTCTACCTGTGATGAGTCTTGGCCTTTTCTTTTGTCTGTTTGGTCAGGAGCACCGTCCTGAGCCTCCATCTCATCCTCACCTGGCCCATCTACACACACACACACACACACACACACACACACACACACACACACAGAAATATATTTTTAATGAATCACTGAATGCATCTCTTTAAAGACAGACGATTCTCTCTGTTTCTGTTTGTCTTGAGTGTGTGTGTGTGTGTGTGTGTGTGTGTGTGTGTGTGTGTGTGTGTGTGTGTGTGTGTGTGTGTGTGTGTGTGTGTGGACTTGCAATGCCTGACTGACACATTTCCCATGCAAAACTACACAGGTGATCGTGTGGCAGCTTGTGAGTGGGTGATCCTTTATTTAGCCTGATGTCTCGGTTCCTGTTTCTGAAGAATGAAAACATTCAGCGTCATGGCAGCAGTTTATCTGAGAAACTGCCAAACAAAGGCAGTAAAATAACAGGTTTATGTACCATAGAGACACACAAGAGTAAATTCAGCATTATCAGCACTGTGACAAATGCAAGAGGCCGGCAGGAACAGCATGAACAGTGATGACGAATGTCCAACAATGCATCGCTTACACAACATGACTAGCGTCGGTCGACTCTGCTCCATAAACCTTAAAAGGGCAATAAATATGCCAACATCTGGTTCCCCTCTTTATTTGTTTGAACTGAAAAACTGCGCCTGTGGTCACATCAGTCTGTTTCATACATATCACTGTTAGGAGAAAACCACATGACGAAAACCCATCTTATCTTGTCTGTTCAACATGCTAACTATGTTTAACTCACAGCCTCCCACCAGCTCGCCTGCCATCACTTGGCAGCAAGATATGGACTGATCTGACATGTTATTGTTTTGTATATTTCAAATCCAATGCTTTCTAATTGTGAGTGGGCAGCCCCCAGTGTCCTCCAGCAACACAATGAACACAAACACACACAAACCATTTTTACACCTAAAGCACGCTGTTGGGTTTTTTGGGGTTTTTTTTGGCAGCACTGATCGGCGGTTTCTTTTTCTTTGTCTTTTCCTTTGGCACATTTTATTTAATTTCATTTATGTCAAACAAAAATTTTATTATTTGCTAAAATTAGAAAATGTTGCATCCAGCACAGAACAATGTTTTTCTAATGTTTCCCAGAAGTTTCAAAGCCGTGAACAAAAGGAATCAGTTGAAAGATTTAAATCCAAAATTTAACATCTTTTCACTGCGTCTTTGGCTTGTCATTAATTAATTAGTCCAAAAAATGATTAAGTCGCAAGTTAACAAGTAGGACGTAGTATCAGTCTGATTGGACGAGATGTATCGGTGCATGTTTTAAGTGGCTCCATGCAAGTGTTTGTGTTGGAAACGGGAATCCATGCTCCCCTCATACCACACTAAGAGGCTGCCATGCCAGAAATATCCAGGGGCCTCTGGACAGAAATAGTGCTCAGCTACCTGGAAGCATATCTTAAATATTTAACTCCCTCACTCATGTTTACATTTCGGCTGAACCATGTTATCCCCACTGAGATTAATTCAGTTTATTTCTATCTACCAACCAGACACTGGGGTAAAAACCCATCTCTGCTGCCAGCGACTACGTCATACATCAGTTAGCTGGTGGTAAAATTTTCACTCAGCTGACGAGTGCCGACTTTGCATAAGCAGATCAGTTACCATGCGCTCACACCAACCAGCAACAAGAAACAAAAACAGACAGCCAGTTTTCATTTCAAGTGACAGCTACAGGACGAAGAGTGCCACTAACCTCTTTACATTACAATTAGAATCCAATCAATATATTGGCTGATCAATGAATCAGCCAGTAATCTTCATCAATCATCAGAAATGTGAAAAATGTGTTTTAGATCATTCACAAACAGTACTGCCATGACATGATTTCACCAGCAGAGGGCGCCAACTAGTTTATTGTTCACTCACTACAAAACTTGGTCTGACGATATTTAAGTAACCAAGTTTAATGGATGCTCATCAAAATGTTTGTTTATTTGCAATGTTTATGTTAAAGAAGAATATTGGCCGATGTATCAATATCAGATTTTTTAACTGCCAAATTTCAATTTCAGTATCGACAACAAAAAATCTTTAGTGTCTTACGCTGTTAATCCAAGTGAATTCTGCAAATCTTACTATGTTTAACTACAAACTGTAGATGTAGACATATGAATTATTTTGTAGAAATATTTGGGTTTTTACACTCAGCATGATGTAAGTGCTGATTAAAATGATTCCACTTCCTTTTCCCCACCCACTTCTCCTCAACCACAAAATAAAGATTAAAGCAGGAGGCAGGCTGGGGGTGTTAAACACGGCCTGAGGAATAATACAAGTTGCAGCACCATCGAAGTTTTGATGGGAAATGTTATTTAAACAACTGACAATCATGATGAAGGCAGTTCAACTATTTGTGCCAAAACGCTGGCAGGAATCCGTGTAATTAAAATATGCACAAGTATCAGCGAGTCGTAAATGGTTTTATAAGACGGCTGACACAGGTTGAATAAACAAAATACAATATGCAAACTGCCTCGGGAGATTTAAATAACTGAAACCTTTACCAGACTTTTCTACTGAGATCAGCAGCAGCCTGTTGTTGAGTGTTTGTCTTTCTCTACATGAGTTTGTTTTATGTCATTTTCTCCCAGCAGAAAAATTATCATTGTAGTTTAATGAAGCAGAATCATCCTCTGACTGAAACGGAACATGTTCACAAACTTACATTTATGAGGATTTACTATAATCAAAGGAAGCAACATTTTAATTAGCCGGGAATGTAAACATGACATTTCTCCAATGCACAGATACATGTTTAGTTTTTGTCATTTCCTGCAGAGTGAGAGAAAACTAATCATAAATTTGTGCTGCAGAGAGGAAGGAAGAAACTCAAGCTGAGTCAATGGGAATCACATTTTTAGTTAATTAAGTGAAACTGGATTTCTGCCACAGAGGCTGGCTACAGGCTGTGCTCACTCACTTCCAGAGCAGTCTGGAAACAAACATGTTTTCTCCTGCCCTCACGGCAATGAAAGGATCAGTCAGGAAACATGGTCTCAGGTCTGGAGGTAGGCCTGGGAGGACACTGGACAGCAAGGCTCTTATCTTATCGGCCAGCTGCAAAAAACCCCTTTATGAAATTCCCTGATCTCATGAGGTGGAAATTCAGCCTTGAGGCCAGGGAGGCCTTCTCCATCCAAGACCTCCCTGACATGAAGCCAAGCCTTTACTTAACTGTTTCCTTCTGGTGTCATGCAAACCTTTTGAATTATGTGTGAAATGTGTTGTAAGTGTTATCTCTCACCACCAGTTTGAACTGAACTTACTGAGAAAATAAAGGTGGGAAATCTCCCTAATTCTTCTTCACTTGCTTTTGTCTCTATATTTGGTGCTGAACATGTGTTACTTCAGGTATTTCATTGGTTTTACTTTTACTTTCTGTTCATGTTAACTACTAAGCCCTTCTACATTTACTACTGGTGCATAATTAAATGAGACACAGTTATGTAATGTAACTTACTGCATATATTTGGCTGATATTTAAGTGTTCAGCGCTGAATCTGTGTATATAATTCATACAAAACAAATATTAAGCTGGGAAAGCGAGTTAAGACCAAATTCTTCTGGTTTTGAAACAACAATGACAAAAACAGACTGTGTGTAAACTGTGTCATTTGCAGCTGTGTGTCAAAGTAATTCAATGGCAGATTCACACTGTTATATATATATATATATATATATTGTAAGAACACAATAGGAAAAGACAGTAAGAGCAAAACCTGTCGAGCTGCTGTGAGACTGAGAAATTCTGCGCCGAAAGAAGAAAAACCAGAAAACATACAAATACTAATGAATCTTAATAAGCTATCTTTGGTTTCTGATACTAAAACAATCATATCGCTGATCACGGTCAAAATGTGTGGAGGAACATATGGAACGGTGCCCTAGTGTGTGCTACAATCAGCGTGAAAGCTGTCATCAGCAAGATACAGGTTTCATATCCTTTATGAAACTGCTGGTGCAAACAAACAGGCTGCATCTTCTGGATAAATGAAACATCAAAAGTTCTTGGAAGGAGGACAGTGTACTTGTATCAGGCCAACACAGTCTTCCTCATTCAAAACACAAGGCGCTGACAGATGAAAGGCGAGGGGAGAAACACTCTGTCCAGCAGTAGAGCGTCTGTTCAGGAGCTTCTGGAACGAGCAGAAACTGAATCTGTTTGGCATTAACACCAACAACACCATCTGACTCACAGCGAGAGCCGAGGCAGGTGAGCAGGAGAAACAACCAGAGAGGGCGAAGGATGTTTGTGAGGGTGTAACGTAACACGCCTGTTTTAAAACAACAATCCACATTTAGCCAAAGACAAATTACAGGTTTGTCACTGAAATACACCCATAACATAAAATCACTAACATGAGAACAGCCTATAGACGACGCCGTATGGTATTGCTCTTCAGAGGAGAGCTGCCTTCCTGAACTCACATGAAGGCGGCCTGTGTGAATGTGGATATATAAAAGCAGTCTAAAAATGGCTGTGACTAATTTGTAGCTTCATCAGACAAGATTTGTGACGGTTTACGTTCTTGTGAATGAACAGACGTGACAAAACAGATCTTCAATCTCAAAAAACTCAGCAGTCCACCGACATCTGAAGGACGAGGGGTTGATGGTTTGAAGGAGGAATTGAAGAAGCCAACATCAATATGACATCAATTATCAGCCACTTGTGCGGTCTCACTCCCCAGACAACTTAACACATGGTGACCGGATGGGTCAATGACTCTCCTTAACGACCCTCAAGGTGTTAATGACCCCACAAGAACTTAAATGCCTGGGACTCCCCCGACTAGCGAGCTAGAACTGACGAGGCCTTTCAAACCAGAGGCGAAACGTCTTCAAGAACCTCAAGCAAGTCCGACTGCTTTCGTAAAGACCGGACACTAAATGAGAGCGATGACAATTAACTGCACACACCTGCAGAGTCCTGAGAAGAAGTCTCATCAGGTAATGAAGTGAGTTTTCATCAAGCTCTGAATATAATTTAATGCTGACAGCGTCTTGA